CAACAACAACAACAACAAAAAAACACACACACACACACACATGGCTACTGTTAAGGGACGTGCTAGAATTGCTGTATTCAAGGACACCTAGTATTCACTATGTATCTATCTTGTGCCGAACTTAAATTTAACTACCTTAACAACAACTGCGAAAAAAACGCAAAGGGCTTAAACCTTAAACCCCTAAAACCTGAACCCTAAACCCCCAACTCTAAACCCTTCAAAAACCCAGATGCAAGAATGTGGGCTACCATCAGGATCCTGCAAGCGGTGTTAGCAATTGCAATGACCAACATAATCCACTGCCGTCCCGATGATGCCGCAACCTGGGTTACAGTTGGGTTTAGGGGTTTTTGGTTTAGGGCCTGGGTTGCTTTTAAGGACCCTAAACTAAGTCACCATACCGGGGGTGTATGTACGAGTTAATATGTTTGCCCCTAAACCCTAAACCCCGTTCTAGTAACTTACATATTATATTACCCCAAAATAATAACTCTTAGGTGGACCCCCCACCCAGTAATAGTGACTATAAGGGATAATAAGGATTATATTAGGGTCCTATTATATTCCTACTATACCACTAATTACAGAGTGGGGGGTCCTCCTAAAGTAACTCGAACTAAGAGTTCCTTAACAGCAGCTCGGCAACTTCCTGGATCATATCGTGCAGCCTGGACATTTTCAATAAGCGGACGAGGCGAAGACCTCGAACCAGTCGAGCTACCCGAAGTGCAGATAGCCTGGGTTGCTCTTAAGGAACTTAATTTAGGTTACTATATTGGGGTATAATATAGGGTTAGGGTTCCTATATGAGGAAATCCTATTATTTACAAAATATTATATATACCCAATATGGTTCCTTAACAGCAACCCAGTAGCTCGCGGACTGAAGATGACAATGTTGTCAGGCAATCAAGGGAAATGAGTAGAAGATCGAAGATCAGCCTGGGTTCTTGTTGAACCCTTAAATCCTAGGGTTTAGGGTTTAGGGTTTGGGCGGTTCTTGTTGAAATACAATTAAACAAGGTTTTTTAAATTGATATTGGGCCCAGGTATCCAAAAAAATGTAAAATTTTGTTCTACAAGAGCCCAGCAGCCACGTCTTCAAGTATTGACACGCGATGGTGGCACGGGAGTACATTAGACTCCCTCTCACGTACACCGCCGTGTTGAAATTGAGCAAAATATCCAAGAACCAAAAGATGAAGCTGCAAAAGAAGGACACTTGAAAGCTAGGACTCGAATCTGTATCCTGGGTTCTTGTTGAAATACCAAAAAGATCTTGCATATTTGATATTGGGCCCACGTATCCATAAAAATGTAAAATTTTGTTCTACAAGAGCCCAGTATCTATGTCCCATGCGATGGCTACAGGTGTGAGAAAGCCATCTAACATGACCAGCAAGAGAGCCAGGGTGTCCCAACCTTGGTTGAGGCTTTAGGGGTTTAGGATTTGGCGTTAGGGTTTAAGGTTTAGGGTTTGGGCTATATAGGGGATACATAGGGGTTATAGAGGGATTATGCAACCTAAAATGGAAACTACTATTTAGGGGTTTGGGGGTTTTGGGGTTTGGGGGTTTTGGGGTTTGGAGTTTTGGGGTTTAAGGCTTAGGGCTTAGGGTATACAATCTGGTTGCCTTGCAACCAGAACCTAACTGAAGCTCCTCGATAACCTATGTAGCCCTAAAACCTAAACCCTAAACCCCATCTTCGTATCCATTTAGCGTTCCTTCACGGTAGCTTTGAAACCGACACCCTGAACCCTAAACCCTTAGCACTCAAACCCGGGACCGCGCTTAACTAAAGAGAGTAAAATAAAAACCCCAAACAGGGAACCCCAAGAATATTGTAGAACTATAAGAGCCCTGGTAGGTATATTCCTATCGTAATTCTACCATATTCTTGAGATTCCCTGTTTGGGGTTCCCATTCAAGTCACTTTACCCTTGCCCTAGACCGTAAACCCAAAGCCCCTAAAACGCTCAACCCCAAACCCTAAACCCCAAAACCCTAAACCCCAAAATCCAATCCTAAACCCCTACCCCCCTAAACCCCTAACCCCTTAAACCCCCTAAAGCAGCAACCCAGCAACACACTCTGAAGGAGCCCTCTGGATGAAAAGGCTTCTCCAGCCAGCGTTCGCGCACGCGAGCTGTGAGAGTTAGGCTCCGGGATCCTTCTATGACTGCCTGGGTGGTACTTGGAGTTTAAATTGAGGTTCTATAGGGGTAATATGGGGTAATGGAAAATAAAATGGAAACTACTTATTAAATTGAGGTTCTATAGGGGTAATATGGGGTAATGGAAAATAAAATGGAAACTACTACAGGGTTTAGGCTTTAAGATTTTGGGTTTAGGGTTTAGGATTTTAGGGTTTTAGGGTTCAGGATTTAGGATTCACAGTTTTAGGGCTGAGCGTTGAGGCTTATTTAAGGTTCTGGGCTCAGGGACCTTGACGGGCCCAGTTGTTGAATGGATAGGTTTCCCTACACAACGGCAAGGAACATTGAACAATTTAATTCGTCGAAGTGCCACCCAGCATTACAAACCCTATAGAGCCCCTGCATCAACCCATTTCCCATTTGTTTTTCATTTTCTTTTGCACTAGACTCTCCACTACTCTAACGACTCAAGAGTCTCTAAACCCAAAGCCCGAAATAGTATAGTAGCTTCCACTTCTTGTCCATACCCCCGTATTTCTTACATCTATACCTCTATCATCCTCTATCTCTCTATCATCTTCGCTTTTGAGATACCCTAAACCCTGAAGTCTAAACCTTTAGGCACGTCGCGTTTGAGCCACGCCTGGGCGGCTTACTCGCGGAGAGCACCGAGGTGAGCTGAGTGGAAAGCTCCATCCATCTACCATGGAGGTGCGATTTTCCCTCCGTAGCACCCACCCTAATGCCTGGGTTTTGGTTTAGGGTTTAAGGTTTAGGCAGGACATGAGCTATAGTCTAAACTCCTTAAAGGGGGGTATACAAGGGATTATGTAGAGAACTACTATAGGTTATTGAGGGAGATACTAAGAGTTTAGACTATAGCTCATATAGGGGTTAGATAGGGATTTTATGGGCTTTCTGTAAGGTTTATAGGGATAATGGAAAAGAACATGGAAACTGCTTAGGCTTTAGGAATGGTTGAGGGCACGGAGTTTTGTCCACGCTGGCCCAGCCTCAGGGTGTTTGAAACCCCTGTGCTAACACGACCCGCCCACGTCGCCCCACCTCCAGTGGTAGGTGCCGCAGTCAAGGCCCACCCAAACGAGGAAACTTCAGAACTTCAAGGCTTGTTTCCGCGACCCCCGGACCCCCCTCCGAGCCCCCCCCGCCCACAAGCCCTGCGAGGAACCCCAACAGCCTCACTGGCGCGCGATACTCTACAAGTACTTCAAGAAATCCGACTAACCCAACGTAAATCTTGAACTCGTTCTCTCCATGTCCACTGCTGGTTCTTATTCCCTCACAAACTCGAAACTATGTCCAACAAGGACCCAAGCAAGAATTTTAACCAAAACACCAAACCCTAAATCAAAAAAGCGTGTGGAATCATCCAGATACACGAGGGATGCAACCTGAACGTCTCCGCCTCAGCCAAGCCCCATGTACCACTCTGTTGCCTGGGCATTTTCAGGTTTAGGGGGTTAGGGTTTAGGGTTTGAGGGTTTTAGGGGCTTAGGGTTTAGGGTTTGATTTTAGGGTTTCAGGGCTTTAGGGTTTTTAGGGGTTTGCGGTTTAGGGTTTTGGGATTCGAGGGTTTCAGTGTCTGAGGTATTAGGGTTCTGCCACCACCCAGTACTAGTTAATAATAGGGGTGATATTAAGGCCTTTGCAGACATATCTGATAATTGTGTTTTCGGTGCTACTGAGTGGGGGCAGTATCCAAGTTCTAGTGTTGATACTAGGAATCCTGCACGACCTGAAGATACTTAACTCCCCAAATTCTCCTGCTTAGAGCCATGCAGGAATTTTAATATGTACCGCATTCAGGATTTAGGGCTTTCTCTGTTGAATGACCATCCTAAATCTGACGCCCTTTTTATTGATGAGTCCAGGTATCCAGGTATACACAAAAGCAAAAACCCTAAACTTTAGGTTAAGCCTCCGCGACTAGTAGTATAACGGGAACATAGAAGAACCCCAAGTTTATTGACATTATCTCTTGGGGACACTATTGATTAGCGGGCAAGGGCCCAAACCAACCTAAAGCCTAGACCCTATCCATAAACCCTGAAACCTAGACACCTAGACCATACAAGTAGGTTAGTAACCCTTATAACCCATATAGTAACCAGACTGTCCCATGATAAACCTACTTGTTAAGTCCCCCTGACCCTCCAACCCTTGACCCTAAACCCTAAACCCTAAGCCCTCTTTGCTAAACCCAAATCCCTAGACCCTAAACTACTGTGAGTTAATCTTAAAAACATGCTGTTCAACAGGAACCCAAAGGCCTGTTCACAATGACAGCCGGCTCGATGGCTTTGATTGCAAAAATATCTTCTGGCCTTGGTTTAGGGTTTCGGGCTTAGGGTTTACAGGGTTTAGGGTTAAACAATTTCCCCAATAAAAGCCCCAAACCTCTGGTAGGCTTTGGGGTACGGCCTTATTCCCTCAATGAACATTCAGTTCTCAGCTGACTTAATATGAAATAGAAGAGTTTCAAAGGTTGGTAAAGTACCATCTAGTGGCTGTCGCGCTTCTGAAGCACCGGGCATTTGCAAGCAGTCCAGCTGAACTGTCATAGCTGCCTGGCGAACACCACCATGCGGGAACGAGGCAATGTGGTTGTTTCTCAAAAATCCTTCATAATTCCCAAATACAGGGATAACTAAAAGTACAATCACACATTTCACTGGTTAACAACGGGAGAGAGCCTCCCTTTTGGCGCAAAGCTTCAGCGTGGAACTCCAACATCGCACTAAGTGGGGTGCCGAAAAATGGGGGGACGGCCCTCAGGACCCCAAGGGGTATATGGGGTTTCACGGGGCTACACCCTAACCCTGAACCATAAACCCTACATTGGGGTGGGGATTTTGTCAGGGTTTGTTTGAGAAATATCCGTTTGCCTAAGGCCCTACCCATGCGTCGCGAATGTGTGCCCCTACCGGTTTCCTGGTTGGGGTTTAAGGGTTTAGGGTCGGGCTTGTTAGGCTTCATAGGATATATGCTACGCAGAAGTATGAGGACCCTAGGAAGAGGAGAGGCCCCAAGCCCTAAGCCCTATCAATACTAAACCTTGACCTGTAGTCCCTTAGACCTATAGCAAAATTATGTGTTGTTTAAGACTTCCTTAGGGTTATACTATATCAGAAATCGAAAATAATTCCTAAGGAGACTGTACCCTTAAAGCCAGATAAGAGGCCCTTGAGGGCCAGGGACTTAATAAGTACGTCAATAAAGGGGATAAGTATGGCTAGTATGTAGGTGTCAGGGGGACTTCGTAAGCAGTTCAATAATGGGGATAAAAGTCTGGCTACTGTGTGGGTTATAAGGCTTACTAACCTCCAAGTAAGGTTTAAGGTTTGTTGACAATCATGAGACTGGTCCGTGAGGATGACAGCAACGGCTCAGGCGCGAGCCCGATTAGGGTGCAGGGTTTAGGGTCTAGCGATGTACAGGGATATATGCGTCCGGGCCGCGCCCCCACCCCCCCCATGGTATAGTCCCCATCTGGGCATATCTCTAACCTAGCACAACCATGAACTCTCCAAAAACCTCTCTAAAACCTTCTTTCAAACACTTTATAACCGCTCACCACAGGACCCAGACCACAGGACCACAGGGGGGGGGGGGCGGGTACTTTCATAAGCTTCCACTAAAGACCCTACGAAATCTTCACAAAGCCATTAAGCCTCTACGACTCTGCGAACCCTCCAGAAAACTCTTTAACCTTTTGCAAGCCGTCTACAAAAGCTATAACCCCAGTAAACCTTCTATTATTAAGATGTATACAAAACCTTTATAAACCCTCTTGAAACAATCTATCTCTATCAGATACGTATGAAACTCTATCAAGACTTCAGAAAGCCTCTAGAGACCCCTTCAGAAAACCTCTTGAGAACTCTAAACACTTGCTATTGAATTAATGAACCGTGTGCAAACCTTCTTGAAACCGCATAGAACCCTTTTATAAACACCATAAGTTTCTATAAACTTAATCTAAACCTCTCAAATACGCCACCAAACTTATCTAAACCTCTCAAATATGCCACCAAACCCAGACCACAGGACC